ATTTCTTGTTCCTCCTGTCCTCTTCAATACTTTGGAGAAACTTGTCGATCTCTTTCTGACAGACTTAGGGAGCACAAAAGCAATGTTAGGCTCGCCGACACCAACAATGCTCTTTTCTGTCACGTCAGAGATCACAGCCATCCTATTGACTGGTCTTCTGCTAAAACTGTCTTCCCTACTTCCAACTAAATTTAACAGTCGCCGTCTGGTTGAATCCTCCCTAATACACAACTTTCCTTGTATGAATCTTAGTCCGGCTTCGTCTCTGTAGATGCCTTCCTCTCCCACTACATTGTAAAATGCTCCAAACTTCAGAACACCCGTGACTTAACCTGATTCCTAATTTTTCTTCTTCTCCCTCTTCCCTTTTCCTCGTTCCTTTTTCTCCGTTGGGTTGTCTGTCTTCTGCCTCGTGTATTTGTTCTTTCATTATGTATCCCCCCCCCCCTCTGTGTTCTTGCTTTTACCCTCTGTGGGCACCTAGCTCCCTGGCAGTGCTCCTCTTTCTTAGTATTTGACTGGTTCCTCCTCCTCCTCCTCCTTACTGTCTTCCCCACTACTACTTCTACCTCCACCACCACTACTACTACCACCACCCCCATGCCTATATATACCCCTCCTCTCCTTTTCTTTAGTGTGACTTTGTAAATGGTCTAAGTCGGACCGAAACGTCGTCGTAAGCTGCTCCTCTCCTATGTGCGGGTTATTTTTGTAAAACTCAAGTACCTCGACCAAGTGTGGGATCAACCAGGCTGTAATGGAAATGTGAGCAATTGAGACTCCAGCAGCAACAGCCTGATTGACCTGGAAAGCCCCAAACAAACTTGGCCCTGGGCCGGGCTGCGGGAGTAGCAAAACTCTGGTAACCCATCACAGGTCATAATGTAGTTCTGCACCCCCCTTTCCCCCCGTCCCTTCCCTCCTCCCCTTTCCCTCGTTCCTTCCCTTCCGCCCTTTCCCCGTCCCTGCTCCCCGTCCCTGCCCCCCGTCTCCTGCCCCCGTCCCTCTGCCCCCCGTCCTCCCCCTGCCCCCCGTCCCTGCCCCCCGTCCCTGCCCCCGTCCTCCCCCTCTCTCCCCCCCCGTCCCTTCCCCCGTCCCTTACCCCCCCGTCCCTTACCCCCCGTCCCTTACCCCCCCGTCCCTTACCCCCCGTCCCTTACCCCTCGTCCCTTAACCCCCGTCCCTTACTCCCCGTCCCTTACCCCCGTCCTTTCTCCCCGTCCTTTCTCCCCACATCCTTTTCTCTCTCGTATTTTCTTGGTCTGCTATGTGATGGAATTTTCACGAACATTCCATTTCTTCTCAGATACGGTAATTCCTAAATAATAACTTCAGCTCTGCTGGAATGGAACCCTTGAAGCTGCCGTAGCTGCTGAACCCTTAAGAAAATATTTGATATTCTCGTTTCCTACTGGAGACTCTCAGCTCAGACTGACAGATTTAAACAGTGCGTGGAAAGCATCCTCTGTGATGGAACGTGACAGGGGAAACAATGCTTGCTAACTCGACTCACGAAATCGTAATGACACGATTGCAAACAAACCATACCACGGACGGGGATAGAACCCGCGATCAGAGAGTCTCAAAACTCCAGACCGTCGCGTTAGCTACTGCTTACTAGTTAGTGTGACTTGTAAAAAAAAGTGGTCCAAGTCGGACCGAAATGTCGTCATAAGCTTCTTTGTCCTATGTGCGGGTTATTTGTGTATTGTTCCAGTCACGGTATTGTGCCTTTCGTTCTTTAATGCTTGCTTTTGTTGCCATTACGCAATTATGATATAGAATAGCACAGCTGCAGCACAGTGCTGATGTATCCAGCGTTGCTAATAAGCCAGAAGATTGTTCTTCCTGGCTTGGTACTCCCTCCTGCATACTCCACTCTTCCTTCATTTGGTTAAAGGTGAATGTCCGAGGCGTCATACCATTCATTTTTGAGCGTCCAGGTTGTTGACCTGTCTAGCTAGCTAGCTAGCGCTGCCTCCCCTCCTCTCCCCTCTTTCTCCAATCTTCTCTTATTTTATAACCCCCCACCCCCCTCTTCCCTTCTAGTATTTTCTACCCTTCCTCTCTCTTGTGTCCTGTACCCTACCCTCTCGTTCTACCCCGTCCCCGTCCTTCTACCCCCCCCTCCTACCTTCTACCCCCCCTCGTCATTCTCCCCGCCCCCTCGTACTTTACCCCGTCCCCCTGTACCTTCTACCCCGTCCCCCTCGTACCTTCTACCCGTCCCCCTCGTACCTTCTCCCCTCCCTCGTACCTTCTACCCGTCCCCCTCGTACCTTCTACCCGCCCCTCGTACTTCCCCCTCCCCCGTACCTTCTACCCGCCTCGTACTTCACCCCGTCCCCCTCGTACTTCTTCCGTACCCCCGTACCTTCTACCCTCCCTCGTACCTTCTACCCCGTCCCCCTCGTACCTTCTACCCCGTCCCCCTCGTACCTTCTACCCTCCCCTCTACTCACCCCGTCCCCCTCGTACCTTCTACCCCGTCCCCCTCGTACCTTCTACCCCATCCCCCTTCCTTCTACCCCGTCCCCCTCGTACCTTCTACCCCGTCCCTCGACCTTCTACCCGTCCCCCTCGTACCTTCTACCCCCTCCCCCTTCTTACCTTCTACCTCAAATTTTCTCTCCCCAGTTCCCCTCAATCCTTGTACTCTCATACCACTTCATACTTTACCTTCCCTCCCCCCTCATATCTTCTACCCACCACCACGCCTCTTCTCGGTTTCCCCTATTACCTTCTCCCCTATTACCTTCTTCTTATCGTCTCCCCTCTGCTACTTTTCTCTTACCTTCTGTCCTCTGTTACTTTCCTCTTACCTTCTACGCTGCTACATTTACCTTCTGCTCCTGTTATTCTCCTCTTCCCCCTCCCCCGTCTCTCTCACACAGTGTGTGTGTCATATACTTGCGGGTACTCTTCCCTCCCTCACACACAGTGTCATATACTTGCGGGTACTCTTCCCTCCCTCTCTCACACAGTGTGTGTCATATACTTGCGGGTACTCTCCCCCTCTCTCTCTCACACAGTGTGTGTCATATACTTGCGGGTACTCTCCCCTCTCTCTCTCACACAGTGTGTGTCATATACTTGCGGGTACTCTCCCCTCTCTCTCTCACACACAGTGTGTCTTATACTTGCGGGTACTCTCCCCCCTCTCACACTGTGTCATATACTTGCGGGTACTCTTCCCCCCTCTCGCACACAGTGTGTGTCATATACTTGCGGGTACTCTCCCCCCCCTCTCTCACACAGTGTGTGTCATATACTTGCGGGTACTCTCCCCCCTCTCTCTCACACTGTGTGTCATATACTTGCGTGTACTCTCCCCCCTCTCTCACACAGTGTCATATACTTGCGGGTTCTCTCCCCCCCTCTCACACTGTGTGTGTCATATACTTGCGGGTACTCTCCCCCCTCTCTCTCACCCACAGTGTGTGTGTCATATACTTGAGGGTACTCTCCCCCTCTCACACTGTGTGTGTCATACTTGCGGGTACTCTTCCCCCTTCTCGCACACACTGTCATATACTTGCGGGTACTCTCCCCCCTCTCTCACACAGTGTGTGTCATATACTTGAGGGTACTCTCCCCCCTCTCACACTGTGTGTGTCATATACTTGTGGGTACTCTCCCCCCCTCTCTCTCACCCACAGTGTGTGTTCATATACTTGAGGGTACTCTCCTCCCCTCGCTCACTGTGTGTGTCATATACTTGCAGGTACTCTCACACAGTGTGTCATATATATATATATATATATATATATATATATATATTATATTATATATATAATATATATATATATATATATAATGCAATAAGATCACAGTAAACAGGTGATTTTAAAATATGCAAAACAACCACTGTGAAAGAGTAGTGAAATTCCAAGCGCTTTCGTGACTACTACTACTCACATTGTCATAGTTCCTTGACAATGTGAGTAGTCACGAAAGCGCTTGGAATTTCACTACTCTTTCACGGTGGTTGTTTTGCGCAATATATATATATATTATATATATTATATTTATTATAATATATAATTTTATATATATATATATATATATAATTATATATTATAATATATTATATTTTTGGCTCCCTTACCTTCGTGTGTTAGTGTGACTAGTTAATGGTTCAAGTCGGACCGAAACGTCGTCATAAGCTTCTCCTATGTGCGGGTTACTTGTGTATTGTTTCAGTCACGATATTGTCTTTTTGTTCTCGAAATACCTTAGCGGTGGTGGTGGCAGCCTTTAGTAAATACCGCCTAAACAAGGCTTGAGAGACTACTGAAGTGAGTGTGTAGGATTATCGAGACTCCTTAAGAACACATTATTCTTTTGTTGAGCTTTCAAGACTGTAAATACCTGACGTAAGACTAACAAGGTATCTTGAAGAATACTGAAATGGATGATCAAGTTGGTCTTGCTGCTTTAGAAATAATATTCTTCCCTCTCCTTCCCTCCCCCTTCCTCCTTCCTTCTTCTTTGGGTCGTGTATGGTAGTTTGCAAGTGTCAAGGTAGTGTAGTGAGGAAGATGGCAGGTGAAGGGGGCGGGCGAGGCAATCTAATGAAGGAGGGGCTAGCGAGGCGAGCTAGTGAAGGGGGCGGGCTGGCGAGGCGAGATGGTGAAGGGGATGGGCTGGCGAACGAGCAACTAAGGGAACGGGCGGGCGAGCATGTAAAGAGGGGGGGAAGAGTGGCGTACGAACAAGTAAGCGAACGGACAAGTGAGGGGAAAGAGTGGCGAACGAGCATATGAGGGAAAGGGGGGGGGGAGTGGCGTACGAGCAAGTGAAGGGGTTGAGGAGGCGGGCAGGCAGGTATGCTTACTTGCCCGCCTGCTGATACCCAGGTGTACGAGTAGTCTGAGTAATGTGTAGGCGAGGGAAATATACTACAGCAGGAGGTTGTTAATTTCACCAAAAGGTTGGTAATATTTTGGATTGTTGGAAGTGAAGGTGGTAGTGGATGATGGTAGTGTCAGGTCGGACAGCAGCAGCACTAGCGACGAGTGCCGGCGCCCTGGGTATTTTTATCCCCTGGGCTTGGTGTGCCCCTGCGTGCCCGGTACTGAGGTGTGCTTCAGTTACATTCTGCTCACCACTCACTTACCTGCTTCACGGCACTCTGCTCCCGCCCCTCCTTGCCTCTTGAGGCTGCTAAGTTACCACTGCTAGTGCCGCAGAAGCTGGTACCTCGCGTGCCGCGCCGAGCCTGGAGACCAAGTCTGCGGGGGCAGCGGGTGCTTGCCCTGTTCTCCAGGCATCGCCACTTACTGTGATGCGAAAACAAATGATAAACATATAGTTTTGACAAACAAAAAGTGTTAGTTGGAGAGGGCCCAGCCTTGTGTCACTAGTGCCACTGTAAATGGGTGTGTAAAAGTGACGTGTGCTATGCGAGACTAGGGGGTGTGAGGCTGTGGTGGGGGTGGGCGTGCGAGGCGGGCGCCAGTATGAGCGGACGCACCCGTCAGCAATACGGCAGGAGCGCCACAACTTCCTATACGAGTATCCTTCAAGACTCTGGGGGGGATATCCTAAATCGGTGTTCGAACCTCTTCAGCAAGTTCGCCTCCCGCGTGAGAGCTGTGTCACAGTCTGGGGATGACCGGGTGCCCCTCCACGACACCAGTAACAACATAAGCTCTGGCGCCACTTCCTCCACTAAGTCCTCGAACTCCCAGTATCCGATGTTGCTCAAATACAACAAATACGAGGATTCGCCGCGCTACACTGATTACAAGACCACCGCGCTCTACGCAGATGTGAAGTCCAGGTCTTCAAAGTTCGATGGTACGTCTTCCCGCAATAAGTACGGCAGTTCTTCATCGGCCTACGATGTCGGGTATAAGTATGGCTCTGGCTACGGGTCGACAGCCTCTTCTGGGTATAGGAGCGGTAATGCCTTAACTCCATCAGCTTCATTCTCATCTTTTTCAACTTTTAAGACAGATTACGGCGGTTCAGAGTTTGATAAGTGTGACGATTCTCCTAGAAAGAGATATGGGAACTGTGGCGGCCGACCAACGTACAACCGAACAGCTTCAGACCTGGGAATGGAATCGGACTATGGTCTGCGTAGCGCTTATAGCTCATACTCCGCACCAGCTCCTAACTACGATAAGATTGGTGCCCGCTACAAGCCTAGTCAGTTCTTGAGGAGAAATAATTTGACAAGTGGTTGTAATGAAGAGGACGAGGCTAGCGACGAACTTTGTGTACTTCGAAATAATGTAAGCACGAAAAAATCAGACTACTGGTCCCAATACGGGTCTAAATCACCGAATGTAATGGAAAGGTGTATCGACAGTCGCAGCTTCAAATTAGGGAACCTCAGCCCTCAGCTCCGACGGCGCCACGGTGACGGTGCTCTTATTAGTGGCTCCGCAAGACACAGAATTACCCGGCCTGTAACGGTGCCGGATGCTCAAGATGGACGGGAGAGCACTAGCTCAATTATGAAAAGGTACTCTGGCCTCTCCTCCACTACTCTGGAGACAGAGACTGGCAGCACTACCTCGTCGGCAACGCCAGACAGCGTCGCCGATGAATCCACTCGCCGCAAAGAGCGGGCCCAGCTTATCAATATGTACTCTCTTCCCCTCAACGTTTTACATAATATTGGCAGTTCTCACAACCGCAAGTTCCGAAAGCGTGGGCAAGAACCCGCTGGCTCAAGTGATCATGATGGTACAGGACGGCAAGGCACGCGGCGCTATGATCAGGTTAAAGAGATGGCCGCGAAGGTAACAGCATTCCGCACCTACCAAGACGAGGAAGGGAGTCAAGGACCACCCCGGAAAGTTTTGTACGGCAGTGCCTCTACGGGTGATGTGCTCTCCGCCTTAGCCAGAACGGCCGCTAAAGGCACCGATAACGTGTCCAAACGTAGCACACCCGATTCCGATAAGTTTGTATTATACGACCCTCCAATTGTTTTCGAAAAAGCCGCCATGCGCGAAAAGCCTCTGAAATCCAGCAAGCCCGCCAAACCCACCACCCTCGACCTATCCAGAACTAACACTGTTGAACTGCTGGACTCTCCTTCAGAGGTCAGAGCCAGACTAGACCTTATGGAATCCAACAGATCACTATGTTCCTCTTTGCTCAGAACACCTCATAATCACTACGGTATTCAGACACCCACATCGCCAACAACTCCCATAATAAAAATTTCAAACTACATGGAGCCAGAACAGGAATACACGTTCACTACATTTAAACCACCTAATTCGAACATTAATAGTACCAGTAACAATACGAGTGACCAGTCGAACAGTAGTAACACGACGAACACCTCGAGCTCTGTAAGTAACAAGACTTTGTCTGAGACAAACATCGCATATGTGCCAGCCCTCACTCCTAAATCTCCTCTCGACCAGTCTGTGTCTGTGAAACCTAAAACCTCGAGTGCCGCTAATGCAACTCTTACTAACATTCAATCAAAGTCGAAGGACAACCTTGACGTCTACAGCGCGGCCAAGTACAAGCCCAAGATTGGTGGCGGCGGCGGTGGAATAGAAGGATCGTCTTCCATCAATGGCAAGAGTCTTAAGTCGACCTTGTCTGCGTCAACCACATCTGCTGTAGGTCCGAGCGTGGTGACACCACTGCCTAGGAAATCCGGCGTGATGGACCTGTTGGGCATCCAAGAGGTGGGGGGAAAGAAGAGTGCCATGCATCATCATTCCTCATTCTACAGCTCTAGTAGCGTGACTAGTGACGTAAGTAGAGCAGTGTTGTACTCACGCTGCTCTGCTGTTGCTACTGCTGCCTAGACTGATGCATGCTCTACTATTCTTACCGTAACTAAACCCAATACATCTTCCTTACCCTCCGTTCTTTTATATCTTGTCCATCTCTTCATATTAAGATCTTTTGAACATCCTTTCTATCTCACCCTCTTAATCTTACAAGTCTTTAAGGATACCCTTTGTTTTCATGGATTACCCTGTCTTTAGTCTTCTTCCTCTCCTAGTATTCAAGATCCCATTTTCCTCACCGTCCTAGCCTCGCCTTCCTAGTCTTCAGGAACCCCGTCTTCCTCACCACCTTCCTAGTCTTCAGGTACCCTGTCTTCCTCACCACCTTCCTAGTCTTCAGGAACCCCGTCTTCCTCACCACCTTCCTAGTCTTCAGGAACCCCGTCTTCCTCACCACCTTCCTAGTCTTCAGGAACCCCGTCTTCCTCACCACCTTCCTAGTCTTCAGGAACCCCGTCTTCCTCACCACCTTCCTAGTCTTCAGGAACCCCGTCTTCCTCACCACCTTCCTAGTCTTCAGGTACCCTGTCTTCCTCACCACCTTCCTAGTCTTCAGGAACCCCGTCTTCCTCACCATCTTCCTAGTCTTCAGGTACCCTGTCTTCCTCACCACCTTCCTAGTCTTCAGGAACCCCGTCTTCCTCACCACCTTCCTAGTCTTCAGAAACCCCGTCTTCCTCACCACCTTTCTAGTGTTCAGGAACCCCGTCTTCCTCACCACCTTCCTAGTCTTCAGAAACCCCGTCTTCCTCACCACCTTTCTAGTGTTCAGGAACCCCGTCTTCCTCACCACCTTCCTAGTCTTCAGGAACCCCGTCTTCCTCACCACCTTCCTAGTCTCTTACAAAACACACTTCCGTCCTGCATGTCATCCATTAGTTTAAAGGAAAGTGGAAGTGCAATTTGCGAGTGTCCATAATATCGCCGATTAGCTTAAAGAATGGTTGGCCGCCTCTATTAACGGTGAATGGATGTGTTGTGTTTGTTACCCGGACATATTATGGGATAGGGTAATGAATTAATGTCAATGCTCCCTCTATTGTTTTTAGGGTTTCGACTTTTGTTTCATGGCCATTGTCTTGGGGACATTCCTAGTTGTATGTCTGGGGTATATGACTAGCCACATAGTCAACTGGCAACAAAATGTATGAAGGGCCTCTCCTCTGTCCACAGGAATCATACATTGAGGATTGGGTATAATCGTCTGGCCCATGGTTTTTACTGGACCGGGGTCTTACGCCTCTGAAACTGGTGCCAGACACCCCCTAAAATTAGGTCATTTTTAAACGGTGTCCTCGGTACTGATGTGTAGTTAAATGCGTATGTGATGTCCATGTGTAGACGTCACGACGAACATCAGTGAGCGTTTGGGCAATGCTTTAATGCTAATTTCGTTTTTATTGTTCATTTATTAATTTTATTTAAAGTATTTGCTTCTGTTGTTATTTATTGGGTTTCACTTTAATACCAGAAGCGCTGCATAACCACTGGGTATTTTTTATAATTACATAGTTCCTCTTTTTCCTTATTATCTTCAGGAATTCTCTTTTCATTCTTCTGGTATTAAAAAACTCGTGTTGCCTCCTCGGGAAACCTCTCTCCCTTAAAATAAACTTTCTCATTCTGGGAAGCCTCGGTCCCAGTTTGTCATATTCCACCCATCTGGGTTAATAATCTTTAAATTCTCATTAGTCTGTCTTGCCAAAGAATCGTAAGTGGTGATGATTACGATATAAACGTTACTTCGATATATTGTGTAGCAGATAAGGGTACTTGGAATATTCCATCAAGGGAAAGCTCGAAATAATGTCGTTAAATTAGGTCAATTTAGATTTGGTGATGATTACTAGATTACGGCATTAACGAAATCCATTACCCTTGCTGCTTCACCAGTTTCATCTACGTAGAGCACCAGCCCGAAGTCGTGTTTAGTATATCCCCTGCTATTTTGTCTTTTCCCCCTAATTTACCGCCTCTTCCCACCCACCACATTACCAGTCACTAACAATCACCGTACCATCCACAAGAACTACCCACACTACGCCACCACCACCCACAACCTATCTCTTCCATTTTTAGGCAGCCTTATACGTGATAATAGTAAATACCGTAAATGTAATAAAATCTTAACACCTGCACTATGCCCATAACAGTGCGTCAGTAGTATGTTTGTTTTCTTGACTTTCTCATGACAGTCCCATCACGTCTGTTGAAGATGGGCACTGGCAGAAATGTTTCACGTGCCTGCGCCCTTGTGTGCGTGCCTGCCTGCCTGCCTGCACGTGTGTATGAGCGTAGGTAGGTATGTGCCAAAGAATATTTTATTATTTTTATTACTGATTATTTGCTAATGATGGAGTCAGTGTTATGAGTGTTGTACTAAACAAGGTCAAGCCGGTCGGCCCTTAGTGGTGTGTGTGTTTGGTGCCTCGTGTTACTTCATGCATCTCCCTGGCTCTGACCTTCCCTCAACATATTATGTTCAATTCATTTTTATTTGATATAAATTAAGCTGATATTACACGTGTAGTTAAGTACTTAATTAAAATGCGATATATATATATAATATAATATATAAATATATATATATATATATATATATATATATATATATATATAATATATAATATATATATAATACATAATATATAATACATATATGCATTCTTATATATGTATATTTCTAGAGATAGTGTTGGAGAGAGCACCAGTAAGGCCTGAATGTATATGCTGCCATGGTGTGTGGCCACCGTGGCTCCCCTTGATAGTGGCCACCATTTTGCCTTCTCCCCTCTTTATCTGTCTTGTTGGTGGCCTGTTGCCCTGCGGTTCGTCGTGTGACACGGCTGTGGTGGTGAACCATGTGACCCTCCCCACTGATGCCCCACCGTGCCTGCTGCTGCTGCTGCCGCCTCCTCTTGGCGGTGCTGGTGCTGTGCTGGTGGTGTTGCTGCTGGCGGCGTGGGCGTACGGGCGTGACATGGGCCGGGCTCCCTCCAGAGTTCACGGGCACCCTCAGTGGAAGATGATGAAGAAGGACATCTCATATACCGCAATGGCGACGTGCTGCAAGATAGATGTTCGTGAATAAGACTCCCTGTTTTATCTTCATTTTTTGTTTTCCTCTTCATAGTTTTTACGACACGTTTCACACTCGCTTCTTGACACCAGCTCTTCTTAAACACTTCAACCATCTCATAGCTAACACACACACACACACACACACACACACACACACACACACACACACACACACACACACACATACACATACACATACATTAGCCAATATTTTAGGATAAATTTTTTCCCTTTTTTTTTTCAAAACTTTCTACATAGCAATTGGTATCCCCGCCATACTTGTAAGCATAACTTGATCCCTACTCTAGACGCTCCTCCTTTCCTCTCAGTACTGATACTTTTCACCGAAAAGAAAAGCTTAGAGACATTAATGAGAGACAGGAAGGGGACACAGTGTTATTCATTTTATGAATTACCCTGTAAATATCCGTTATGACCTTCAACGAGTATTTCAACTATTCATTTTGTATAAAAAAGACCGTTGTTTTGTGTTTGCCCCCGCAAGTAACGTAGCTGTTTGTATGAGAATGCGGGCGGCTGTGTACACCAGTAGTAGCTCCTGACCCCCTCTCCTTGCTCTCTTGCAGACAAGATCATTACCACTCTGGGCGAGGGCACCTTCGGCAAGGTCGTCAAGTGTCGGGACCTCCAGAAGTAAGTAATCTCCACTTGTCTCATCTCTCTTTATCCCACCTTGTACTTGAGCAGGTAACCCACATATCCGGCGGTCGTCCAGCTCACCAACACCTGCCTTCACCCATCCGTCCATCCTGATGGCGTCGTCTGCTCATATAAGTATTAATCTTGAATTCTTGGAGTCGGCATTTTTTTCCTGTTAGTCGCTTTGATAACTGTTTGCTAAATATTACCCGTTGGACGAGTTTTAAATTAGCTAAAAATCAGTCTCTCTCTCTTTCTCTCTCTCTCTCTCTCTCTTTTTTCCCCCTTGACAGTGGTCAAGAGCGGGGCCGCAGCGACGTTACGTTATAGTGTCTGGGTTAGTAATGAATTATTCCAGCTGCAGTATTGGGAATTATAATTTTAAATAAACAGCGAATCGTTCAGAATATCCGATTGATTGTTTTTAATTTTTAACTGAAGTAACAGTTAATATGATGCCTGGAATGAGCAACATGCCAGGCATTATTTGGCTGGAAACTGGTGGATTTGTTTTGTAAGTACTCGTGGTGTTTGTGTAGTGTTGTGGGGCGGCATTTTATTATGGTGATAAAGGTGGTGCTTCAGACTAGTTTCCCCCGGAGCTCTGTGGTGCTTCAGACTAGTTTCCCCCGGAGTTCTGTGGTGCTTCAGACTAGTTTCCCCCGGAGCTCTGTGGTGCTTCAGACTAGTTTCCCCCGGAGCTCTGTGGTGCTTCAGACTAGTTTCCCCCGGAGCTCTGTGGTGCTTCAGACTAGTTTCCCCCGGAGCTCTGTGGTGCTTCAGACTAGTTTCCCCCGGAGCTCTGTGATGCTTTAAACTAGTTTCCCCCGGAGCTCTGTGGTGCTTCAGGCTAGTTTCCCCCGGAGCTCTGTGATGCTTCAGACTAGTTTTCCCCGGAGCTCTGTGATGCTTCAGACTAGTTTCCCCCGGAGCTCTGTGATGCTTCAAACTAGTTTCCCCCGGAGCTCTGTGGTGCTTCAGACTAGTTTCCCCCGGAGCTCTGTGATGCTCAAACTAGTTTTCCCCCGGAGCTCTGTGGTGCTTCAGACTAGTTTCCCCCGGAGCTCTGTGGTGCTTCAGACTAGTTTCCCCCGGACCTCTGTGGTGCTTCAGACTAGTTTCCCCCGGAGCTCTGTTGTGCTTCAAACTAGTTTCCTCCGGAGCTCTGTGATGCTTCAGACTAGTTTCCCCCGGAGCTCTGTGATGCTTCAAACTAGTTTCCCCCGGAGCTCTGTGGTGCTTCAGACTAGTTTCCCCCGGAGCTCTGTGGTGCTTCAGGCTAGTTTCCCCCGGAGCTCTGTGATGCTTCAGACTAGTTTCCCCCGGAGCTCTGTGATGCTTCAGACTAGTTTCCCCCGGAGCTCTGTGATGCTTCAAACTAGTTTCCCCCGGAGCTCTGTGGTGCTTCAGACTAGTTTCCCCCGGAGCTCTGTGATGCTTCAAACTAGTTTCCCCCGGAGCTCTGTGGTGCTTCAGACTAGTTTCCCCCGGAGCTCTGTGGTGCTTCAGATTAGTTTCCCCCGGACCTCTGTGGTGCTTCAGACTAGTTTCCCCCGGAGCTCTGTGGTGCTTCAAACTAGTTTCCTCCGGAGCTCTGTGATGCTTCAGACTAGTTTCCCCCGGAGCTCTGTGATGCTTCAAACTAGTTTCCCCCGGAGCTCTGTGGTGCTTCAGACTAGTTTCCCCCGGAGCTCTGTGATGCTTCAAACTAGTTTCCCCCGGAGCTCTGTGGTGCTTCAAACTAGTTTCCCCCGGAGCTCTGGGGTGCTTCAAACTAGTTTTCCCCCCGGAGCTCTGTGGTGCTTCAGACTAGTTTCCCCGGAGCTCTGTGATGCTTCAGACTAGTTTCCCCCGGAGCTCTGTGGTGCTTCAAACTAGTTTCCCCCGGAGCTCTGTGATGCTTCAAACTAGTTTCCCCCGGAGCTCTGTGGTGCTTCAGACTAGTTTCCCCCGGAGCTCTGTGGTGCTTCAGACTAGTTTCCCCCGGAGCTCTGTGATGCTTCAGACTAGTTTCCCCCGGAGCTCTGTGGTGCTTCAGACTAGTTTCCCCCGGAGCTCTGTGGTACTTCAGACTAGTTTCCCCGGAGCTCTGTGATGCTTCAGACTAGTTTCCCCCGGAGCTCTGTGATGCTTCAAAACAGTTCCCCTGGAGCTCTGTGGTACTTCAGACTAGTTTCCCCGGAGCTCTGTGATGCTTCAGACTAGTTTCCCCCGGAGCTCTGTGATGCTTCAGACTAGTTTCCCCTGGAGCTCTGTGATGCTTCAGACTAGTTTTCCCCCGGAGCTCTGTTGATGCTCAGACTAGTTTCCCCCGGAGCTCTGTGATGCTTTAGACTAGTTTTCCCCCGGACTCTGTGGTGCTTCAGACTAGTTTTCCCCGGAGCTCTGTGATGCTTCAGACTAGTTTCCCCCGGAGCTCTGTGGTGCTTCAGACTAGTTTCCCCCGGAGCTCTGTGATGCTTCAGACTAGTTTCCCCCGGAGCTCTGTGGTGCTTCAAACTAGTTTCCCCCCCGGAGCTCTGTGATGCTTCAAACTAGTTTCCCCCCGGAGCTCTGTGGTGCTTCAGACTAGTTTTCCCCCGGACTCTGTGGTGCTTCAGACTAGTTTCCCCCGGAGCTCTGTGATGCTTCAGACTAGTTTCCCCCGGAGCTCTGTGGTGCTTCAGACTAGTTTCCCCCGGAGCTCTGTGGTACTTCAGACTAGTTTCCCCGGAGCTCTGTGATGCTTCAGACTAGTTTCCCCTGGAGCTCTGTGGTACTTCAGACTAGTTTCCCCGGAGCTCTGTGATGCTTCAGACTAGTTTCCCCCGGAGCTCTGTGATGCTTCAGACTATTTTTCCCCCTGGAGCTCTGTGGTACTTCAGACTAGTTTCCCCCGGAGCTCTGTGGTGCTTCAGACTAGTTTCCCCCCGGAGCTCTGTGATGCTTCAGACTATTTTTCCCCCGAGCTCTGTGATGCTTCAGACTAGTTTCCCCCGGAGCTCTGTGATGCTTCAGACTAGTTTTTCCCCCGGAGCTCTGTGATGCTTCAGACTAGTTTTCCCCGGAGCTCTGTGATGCTTCAGACTAGTTTTCCCCGGAGCTCTGTGATGCTTCAGACTAGTTTTCCCCGGAGCTCTGTGGTGCTTCAGACTAGTTTTCCCCGGAGCTCTGTGATGCTTAGACTAGTTTCCCCGAGCTCTGTGATCCCTTCAGACTAGTTTTCCCCGGAGCTCTGTGATGCTTCAGACTAGTTTTCCCCGGAGCTCTGTGATGCTTTAGACTAGTTTTCCCCGGAGCTCTGTGGTGCTTCAGACTAGTTTTCCCCGGAGCTCTGTGATGCTTCAGACTAGTTTCCCCCGGAGCTCTGTGATGCTTCAGACTAGTTTTCCCCGGAGCTCTGTGATGCTTCAGACTAGTTTTCCCCGGAGCTCTGTGATGCTTCAAAACTAGTTTTCCCCCGGAGCTCTGTGATGCTTCAGACTAGTTTTCCCCGGAGCTCTGTGATGCTTCAGACTAGTTTTCCCCGGAGCTCTGTGATGCTTCAGACTAGTTTTCCCCGGAGCTCTGTGATGCTTCAGACTAGTTTTCCCCGGAGCTCTGTGATGCTTCAGACTAGTTTTCCCCGGAGCTCTGTAAATGCTTCAGACTAGTTTTTCCCCGGAGCTCTGTGATGCTTCAGACTAGTTTTCCCCGGAGCTCTGTGATGCTTCAGACTAGTTTTCCCCGGAGCTCTGAGATGCTGTGTCGCTCGACCTTCCGCGGTATTCCCACCACCTGGTGATGCTTGAAGCAACGTCTTTCTTGCTTCACTCACGCTTTTGTTCTTGAACTTTAGCCACACTATCTTCTGCGTCCACTTTCTTACTTGTAACTTAGTCACTAATAAGTGACTAAGTTACAAACAAAGGCGGACTTGCCCAGCTGAAGTACCAGGACCAGAGAGCATGTGGGAGTCATCTTTCATTTGAGTTTTGGGTCACTTCATCATAGTGACATTGTATGCCTCCTTCATTTGGCTGCCTGGATTGGGGAGGGGGAGATATGGCTGTACTCTTAACGTTAAAAAACAGTGCAGAGCTCCTCATTAATATTAGATAGCCTAGCAAGTTGTCGTATGAGGCACCGATTCAAGTTAGAGTAAGGAGGCTGGCTGCGGCAGAGTACAGATTCCGCAAATGATGTTGGGACACATTCTGTTGCATTCCAAAGAATTCACTGCACCACGCACTTTATGCAAGACAGTGCCACATGTCAAAACACGTCAAGAAATAGTTGCAGGAGCACCTCTGCTCTCGGTTCTCCCTGCTTCCAGCCGTCACACAGGAGTAACAACCCTGATTTCATAGCTACATGTGCACTCCGCATGAAGAACTTCAGTAATCACTCCACAGACCCCCATGACACTGCCCCTACATCCCGGTCCCAAACCAGGTCTTCCGCTGGATGGGCTGATCAACCAGGCTGTTAAGGAGTTTATTGTATGCACCACAACGCTACTGATAAGCAACCGTGATCGGTTTCGAGAGTCTAATACCTCACTCTTGCCAGGGACCAGGCTTGTTTGGTCAGTCAGGTTGTTGCTTGCTGTTGACGACCCTCTGGCCCACATGTCTTCTACAACCTAGTTGATCTGGCACTTACCATAAGCAGTGGTCCAGTTTCCGCTTGACTATTTCTACACTTGTTCCTGCAGAATTATTGGTATCTGTTGGCAATATGTTGAATAGTGTAGGCCCACTGTTGTTAACTTGGGGTTCTCGTATTGTGTCCATGGCGCCTCTACTTTTCACTGGAATGTCGGGTGCGTTTAGAAAGTAATATTTACAGTTTTTTACTTGGTGCAGCAGCAGCAAGAGCAGCAGCAGCAGCAGCAGCAGCAGCAGCAACAGCAGAAGAGCAGAGCCTCGTGCCTCATCGTGGCGGTCAATATGTGGGAGTCCGGGCTGCATCCCGCAGTCCTTCCTACAATCGCCTCTCTTCAGTGTTTCTAATGTCTCGTGTTGGACCTCCTA